AATGAATGTGAAATTCTAATAAATTACGTAATTTTTTTTACATGATTCTAGAAGTAAACCCAAAAAAACAACAGTATTAAACACTAAAAATATTCCTTTGAACGGAAGCGCCGACACTGGCTGGCTGGATCAACACAAGCAAAGGGACAACTTTCTACTTAAACGTCATTCCATTTTTTATTTTCCCTACCCTTTCTCTACATCGATGTATTTCGACATGATCCAAGAAGTAAGTAAAACAAAGAAAAAACAACAGTATTAAACACTAAAAATACTCCTTTGAACAACCGACGCTGGCTGGATGGGAGACAAGCAAAACCTGTGGCAAAACGACAACTTTCTACTCAAACGTTATTCCATTTTTGATTTCCCGTAGGTGCCTACCCTGATGTATTTCGACATGATCCAAGAAGTTAGTAAAACAAAAAGAAAAAAATATTAAACGCTAAAAATACTCCTTTGAACATCCGACGCTGGCTGGATGGGAGACAAGCAAAACGACAACTTTCTACTCAAACGTTATTCCAACTCCGGCGTTTATTAAACGTCGTGTCGGAATATGTGATGGCGGACTAGAGTTTTCTACGCAGTTGAGGTTTTAAATAAGTTTTCTTAGGTGGTTCACACGTGCTTTTCGTTGTTTTTAATTTTTTAATGCGACGGGAGGACAAAGCCATATGGTTGTGAAATGACATGATCCAAGAAGTAGATAAAACAAAATAAACAACAGTATTAAACACTTAAAATACTCTTTGAACAGTCGACGCTGGCTGGATGGAGACAAGCAAAACGACAACTTTCTACACAAACGTTATTCCATTTTCGATTTCCCGTAGGTGCCTACCCACCCTTTCTCTACATTGATGTATTTCGACAAGATCCAAGAAGTAAGAACAAAAATAAAAATAAATTAACACAGAAAATACTCCTTTGTACAACCGACGCTAGCTGGTTGGATGGAGGACAAGCAAAACGACAACTTTCTACTCAAACGTTATTCCAACTCCGGCGTTTATTAAACGTCGTGTCTGAATGTGTGATGGCGGACTAGAGTTTTCTAAACAGTTGAGGTTTTAAATAAGTTTTCTTAGGTGGTTCACACGTGCGAATCATTGTTTCCTAAGACAAAGAAAAAATGTATTAGTTAAGAACTTAGGTATTTCCTCTTCTTCTTCTTCGAGTAGGACACCAAGTCATCCAACGACCAGAGTTTGCGTCATATTAATTTTAATATTAAGTAAGTATAATTTGTCACTTCCCTATACCACAACATCTATTATTCTTTTGTCAAAGATCTATTATCTATGCTGTTATCCAATACGTATTTTAAAAAGAAATTAGTACTTTACTAGGTAATTTAAATGTCAAATTCATTTAAGCTTTACACAAACACAAGCAATGTTTTAAATTGAAAACATGTTTTAATATTACCTAATGTTAAAGTGAAATAATAGTGTATTTCACGTTTTAATATAACAACTCCACACCAGCCTATCCCCTAGCGGAAATAAACCGACATGCTAACTTTTACTGCGATGGTAGATGGACAAGTTTATAATATGAAAACTGTATAAAACTGTATGAAACACAATTTATAGAGCGCTGTATGTTTCAAACTCTATTCAAAGCTGCTTATACAGACACAATATTTCATATAAAATTTTCTAGGAAAATAAACTCATTAATAATGTTATTATCGGAATAATGAAAAACTGAAACAAAGTTACCTGAAAAGGCTAAAAACCGTTTCCGTTTTGCTTTAAATTCTTCAATTTAAAATATTACAGCGATTTTATTTTATTTTTATGTTATTTATTTTATTTATTTTTATTTATTTTATTTATTATTATAATAATTTATTTATTTGGAAAAGCAAGCAACTGTATACATAGGTTACTGATTACATAGAATACAAGGAATAAGTTTATACACAGTCAACTACGCTATACAGCTATACCTGCCATACTAGTATTTTAATGCCAATGAAACTATAAAGCTAGTAAAGCATCATCCATGTAGATTAGAGTTTCGAAAATTGATTACCTAACACGGTTAGATGTTATGAAATTGGTAAGCTTTTCATTTACCTAATGTGATGCGTAGACACTCTAGACATAGACAGGTAGTCTAATTACACATAGTTATTATGTAGGTTTACTTACGCGACTTACTTATTATTTATTTCGTAAAGGCTAGTGCATGACAGACGCAGGTGACGAGCGGCGGGCGTTTGTTATCTGTCGACCACCGGAAGATGGCTGCCGGCCAAAACGTAACGGCCTCGACACACTACACTACGACCGAAATTTCGCGACGGAATTTGACGCAATTACGCCAGCAATGTTTTTTATCACGGATGACACACTTCAGCCGAAATTCCGTCACCGAAATTACGTCGCCGAAACACAGTCCAAACCAAAGTAGGTAATACGGCGTGATTTGTTTGTGCGTAATTTCGGTCGTAGTGTGTCTACACACTGAACCCACTACCAGATAAATAACAGTTTATTTTGGTAGAGTAAGTTGCACAAAACTACCTACATAATGATACCTGTTCGATTTTAATAATATAGTCACACCTGTCAAACAGAGAACCAAAACATACCTTTTACCTGCCCAACACAGACCATACCAATAAAAGTCGCCATTGATAGCAGCAAGTCAGAATGAAGTCGAGAGAGAATATTTCCTGGACCCTCAACCCAATTGTCGAAGTTCGGTTGACACTTCGGCAAACTTAGACGGAACTTTTTTTTATTTTCCCGCCTTTATTGGCTCGGAAGTTCCCGAGTGCCAATGGAAACCAATAGCGAAGTAGTTATTGATTTAAAACAGACTAGAGTCTATTCCACGTCCAAGTAATACTTTTGCTTCATTTTAGTGGTTTTGGAATTGGAGCTTTTGCTTCACGTTTTGCTTGTAAAGATTCCGGGTATGTATTTGCATTTAATATGTTGCCGTAATGAAGACCAATGAAATAAAACCAGTACACAGAAAAGCTTAGCTTTCAGACATAATAATTATATTCGCTTTGGGCTACCTCTCTTATTGATATGCCGACCTTACATAAAGCAAACATAATGTTTTTAAATAGCTAAAATATTAAACATGTTTATATAAAATTATTGTCCGGAAATATTACTATTCTCATTTAATGTTTCACAAAATATTATTCACGATTGGAATTATTATAATGAATAACGATTTAAAAGTGACTATTTTGGCGTAAGCAAGTCAAAAGTAGCTCGTTTGACTGTAGGAAATGTACATTTCTATCGTAGTATTTTTCTACGACGTAGCAATAACGCGTAGACTCATTATCGATTTAATTGCCCTCATGAATAACCTACGATTTTAAAGCATTTCTTTTACTATCTCCATTCGTGAGAAGTAAGAAGAAGTAAGAGGTGAGAAGTGAAACAGCGTAATACTCGAAACCGTTTCCATATAAAATTAATGAAACAGAAACGGCGATTACCGTGAGACGCGCGTCTCATCGCCGACAGCCGGCGTCACGTCTCACGTGTGAAAATAGCATCTATCATTTGGAAATACTATACCTACATAAAGTCCTTGTACTGTACCTACTTAAATAGATAAGTACTTAATAGATAAGTAGATATGTAAACAAACGATTTGATACAGTATTATTGGACACGAGTTATGTGGTGAACGATAATCCGCGTTAATAGCCAGTCAAACAGCGAAGCGTTAAAGTCAAACGTTTAACTAATAATCCACACTACATAATCAATCATCTTGTCAATCATCCATCAATAATCATAACAATATACGTAATGCACGTACCTAGGTACGTACGTTGTTGGTATCAAACATAGTGTTTATTTGAATTCACTAAAATGGCTGGGCATGAACAACTTTTGGGAGATTTTCTATACTCTACTTATGCAAAAAACACACGGTAACGTCCATTTTTTCGATTTTCCACCTTATTTTCGTATACTAATACGGTTTATGTCAAACGGTTTGACAGACCATCCGTCGACGCAGCGTTGTGCGATGAAGGTAGGTACCGTATTCGTGTGAAGTTAGCAAATGAATGATGCACAAATAGACGTTACGTGTGTTTCTCGTCTTAATTGGACGGCAAGCGTTTTGAAAACCGCAGTGCAAGATATTGCATTTACAGGGAACTCTGCTTCCTATTCCTGAGATAAAAGTTTATACCTTAGTCACATTTTATAGGTATAGTTAGTGAGGGCGATATTATGGTAAGCCGGCATCACGCAGCATATACATATTTATTTTATTACTTAGGTACACGTCTGTGCTTGCTTACCTACACTAAATAAAATATTTCCTTTTAGATGATCTACAGGAGCTTCGATTCACCCGATATCTTTCACGTAACAAATCTTTCAGATTGGAGATTGATACCGAACCGCCTGTGCTATAAATTTGATGTACCTACCCTCTTTCCTCTACCGAAATCATGAATCCTGCAGTCACAACGGATACATTTTATTCACTGTGAGTATAGGAAAAAACCAAAAGATCAGAAAAACATAGAGGTGTTGTAAAATTAGCAGCGATCTTGGATAATCACAATATGCTGATAATTCGGGTGCAAAACAAAATACATAATAATTATGTAGGTCAAATCAGTTTCACAAAAAACAAAAATTAGCTTTCACAGTAAGTTTATATCTATTCCTATGTACTTCGCCCAACGGAATCTACACTTTTGTTTAGGTATTGTACCGTCTGTAGTCTCTTCTATTCTAATGGCAGAAATATACCTACGCGCTTATGATCGGTTTAAGAGCCGGCCACCGGTTAGTAGTTCTTTTTTCTCATATACCTACGCGCTTATGTTCGGCTTATTTCTTCATCTAGAAGGCGGCGGAGTCCAAACTTCAGCTACCAAGACACATTTTGGTTTATTCACGCTTTTATGATATTTATTTATAACATTTCCTTTCATTCCTTCAAAATGTTCATCTTTTATAAATGAAAATGAGAAATTGAAAAAATTTACGTACATCGAACGGAGATCGAACCCGGGCCGCATGGGTAATTAACGCCCCACCGCTCTGACACTGAGCTATCGGTGCACCGGTAGATGCCTGCCTAATTTTTCAATCTTTTGATGCTCTTCTCCAAGCGACAATGTTCGTCACTTTTCTATACGTTTTCGCTAGTCAAATGATAGAAATATATGCGCTTATGTTCGGCTTATTTCTTCATCTAGAAGGCGGCAGAGTCCGGACTCCGGCTAGCATGAGCCCGTGGATTTGTTCTACTAATGCGATTACCCCTTTGTTTCTATTGGATTTTCGCGCCAACCGAAATAAACCACGTTTCGGGTTTCCTTTTGATAATTTTTCACATTGAATTTTTAGTTGAAATGTGTTAAATTAAAACTCATACTTACTCATACTTAGCTGAGGTGGTCCCATAATAAAAGTTGTTCAAAATCACGAGTAGTAACACCCTGCAAAGTTTGCGCACTGACTAAAAAATAACCCAGTATAGCGAGCACCTACCTACACCTACTAACTATGGTAAGTACTAAGTACCTATGTGATCCACGCGCTCTATAGAAAAATGTTTTTATGTCAAAGTTGCGCTCTTTGGAAAAAAATACTTTAAAGTTTAACTAGTTTTGCGACGCCAGTTATTTCTACACGAGTAAGCGTTGGAATGCGATAACTTTTGCACGTGTCCTGCACTTGTTTTGCAATGCGCAACATAGAAACAGTCAGGTACACACATTTGTGGAACACCGAGTCATCCAACGACCCAAGGAACTTATCATTATTATCATCATAGCGAAGGTATGGCAATCCCTGATTGGATCAAATGTCTAAATCAAAGTATTTAAGCCAGCTCTCAGCACTTAAGATTTACCTCACGAAATGTTGAGTCTGGATTCAGGATACACCTTTGTGGTGGAACTATTGTAAAGTAAAGGATAGTGTTCATAAAGCTGCCGAAATCCGTCGGAGAATGCGGCGCGGCGATAAGCAGCCGTTCTGCTAAGTAATCCGCTCAGCGCCGCCACCAGCCGGTAACCAACAGCTGAACCTGTAGTGTATTGTCACATGTTTATGTGCCGTATCATGCCGACTTAGAATAGCATCACCCCAATTCTACCCGTGGGTGTCGTAAAAAGCGACTAAGGGATAATCATCCAGGGAATGGGCAGCATCGTTCCCTGTAAATGCAATATCTTTTACTGCACTCGCCAATCCGCCTGCCAAGCGTGGTGAGTATGGCAGTACCCCCCGTTAGGGGGAGGCCCATGTCCAGCAGTTACTGTTGTGGCTGGTATGTATGGTATGGTATTCAAAGGAGCATCCGTTCTGCTAAGTAATCCGCTCAGCGCCGCCACCAGCCGGTAACCAACAGCTGAACCTGTAGTGTATTGTCACATATTTATGTACAGACAAGTCCTGTAGGCTGACATGATGATGTATGTAAATAAGGATACCTACACCTTTGAATAATGTGATGGAAATATTGTAAAGGCGAGGATAGTTCTCATAAAGCTGCCGAAATCCGTCGGAGAATGCGGCGCGGCGATAAGCAGCCGTTCTGCTAAGTAATATACTATATTTAACATACTATATTTATTTATTTACCTTTTATTTATTATATACATCCAAGCATTGTCAGCGTACCCGACACAGTTATTACTTTTATCAATGGTTGGAAATAGGTATGATGGATCAAAGCTTAACGTTTTTTATCAGAACGTTCGAGGCTTACGGACGAAGTGTTTAGATATCTACAACAACATCTTATCTTGCGACTACCAAATCTTATGTATCAGCGAAAGCTGGCTTCAATCTGATATACTGGATTCGGAAGTTTGCGATTCTAGGTATGACATATTTAGGTGTGATCGCGATCTCATTTCTACCACTAAAACAGGAGGCGGAGGCGTTATGATGTGCGTGTTGCGTCATCTATGTGCTACGGTAAGATATGAATGGAGCTGCGCTTGCGACGGCATTGAGTCGATCTGTGTAAGTATACCCGGGGGGAAACTGGGGTCAAGTGGTGATCTAAATATTATTTTATTATACTTGCCGCCAGAATACAATCTAACAGCTAATCGTTTAAATGAAATCCTAAATAGCTTTAAAAGATTTTTTGATCTCAACCCGAATGACAACTTCCTATTCTTGGGTGATTTTAATTTACCTTGCATCCATTGGAGTGCTGATAGCTACTCAATACGTCATGTAGGTACAACAGAATTTCAGAATGCCTCGTTAAATTTTATTGACGAATTATATTATTTGGGTTTATCTCAATATACTTAATTTAATCGTGAATTCTAGTAATAATATTTTAGATCTATGTTTCAGTAACCTTGAATTAAGTATATGCACTACCACCCCACTCTCGAAACTGGACAAACTGCATCCGGCTCTAGAAATAAATTTTGCTGACTCAGACTTTACGCCTTTGAAAGAAATAAAACAACCCCAATATAACTTTTTCAAATGCGATTACAACCGTATACCTAAACAAATACTTAAAAGAAGTTAATTGGGAAGAGGTTTTAGCTACTGATACCCTGGACGAAGCTGTGGATGCTTTTTACAAAATCATTTACACATGTTTTACTCTTTTCGTTCCTATATCGACACGCAACACATGTTACCCCATCTGGTACAGTGCCTCACTAATAAAAATCAGAAAAATTTAAATTTCGAAAAAAATTGAAGTTAACTAAAAATCCTAGAGACCGGGACACTTTTTCTCTACTAAGAGCTCGACAGCACCGTGTGCAGGAACAATGTTTTGAGAAATTCACTTGTAATACCGAAAAACTCATTAGATATACACCTAAAATATTTTGGAAGTATGCCAAATCAAAAAGAGGCGGTTCTGCTTATCCTCAATATTTCACTTTTCATAATTCAAAATATACTAAGGCAGAAGACATATGCTCTGCATTTAATGAGTTTTTTGAAAGTGTTTTGTCCAGCCCTCGTCGAGTCCGCGTACCAGTGGTTCGGATAACTTCCATTATTCCGGAAATGACATTTTATCTCAAATCACCGTAAGCGAGGACGTTGTTGCTAGGATGCTGCGAGGTTTGGACAAGTCGAAGGGCTCTGGGTGCGACCGCGTGCCTCCGGTCTTTCTTGCACAATGCGCAGATAGTCTTGCTGTCCCTGTCAGTCTGCTTTTTCAGCGCTCGCTTAACGAATGTGTTTTTCCCACTATCTGGAAGCAAGCTCACATAATCCCGATACATAAAAAGGGTCCCAAAACTATGTCGAAAATTATCGCCCTATTTCAATTCTCAATACTGTGGCAAAGATTTTCGAAAAACTTGTTTATAATAGCATGTATCCACTCCTAAAAAAGGGAATATCGGACACGCAGCACGGATTTCTAAGAGGCCGCTCCACTGTGTCGAATCTGGCTTGCTTCACAGATTTTGTCACTGCACATATGGAAAACGGTGGACAAGTTGATGTGGTCTACACGGACTTCGAAAAAGCTTTCGACCGTGTAGACCACAGCATACTTCTGAACAAATTAAACTCCTTAGGTATACACGGTGACTTACTTAGATGGGTGTCATCTTATCTTTCCAACCGCTCTCAGGCTGTTGTTCTTGGTGGCTACAAGTCTGACTTCATCTCTATTGCATCTGGGGTCCCGCAGGGTTCTCATCTCGGTCCTCTTTTTTACAACGCCTACATTTATGATATATATACTTGCTTTGATAACTCACGTCATTTGCTTTATGCTGATGATAAAAAGGTATACTTGCCGATAAAATCCTATAATGACTGTTATCTTCTTCAAAAAGACCTCGACAACTTATACAACTATTACATTAGAAATAATTTAACACTTAGTATCGGAAAATGCCAATGTATAAGTTTTACACGAAAGCCAAAGCCAATCTTAAATCAATATAACTTTAATGGCGTTGTGATTGAGAGAACCGAGATGGTTCGTGATCTGGGAGTGTTGCTCGATTCAAAACTTACCATGAATGACCACATTGACAATATCGTTTCTCGGGCTAATCGCAATCTTGGATTTGTAATGCGGACTTGTCAGCCTTTCAAGCAACTATTGAGTCTTAAAGTAGTATACTTTGCCTATGTAAGAAGTATTTTGGAATACGCGAGCTCTATTTGGTCGCCCTGTTATGCTATTCACATTAAACGTATAGAACGAATTCAGAAAAAATTTGTTTCTCATTTGAAAAGAATACTTCATACGTTTTTAATTGTCGCACATTTAAACTGCTGAGTCTTGAAGAAAGACGCAAAATATTGGATATGGGCCTTTTATTTGACATTTTACGCGGTCGACTAGATTGCCCCGACCTCCTCTCGAGCTTATCATTTAGCGCGCCGGTGCGCCGTACTAGACATACTCGCTTGTTCAAACCGCCTTTCCATAGTACTAATTACGGTCAAAATGCTGTACTGACTCGTTTGGTTCGCACTTATAATGACTTATTTCATAGCATTGACCCATTTATAGATTCAAAACAAACATTTAAACATAAAATTTCCACTTATTTACTGGATCATGCTACAAGTTGAATTAAGCTAAGTAGGTACTGATTAATTCTTCTACGGCCTATATAACCGTGGGTGTAATGCCTGCCTACTCATATATGTCTATTTTTTATTTTTACGTAACGTACGTACTTAACACGCTCGGGATGGGTGAGTGGGTATTTGTACCTCCTGACTAATCAACGTAAACTTAAGTAGGTACTTACTTACAACTATTGAAGGGCTCCCGCCAATACTTACTTTGTGCTATTAATCTGTTATCACCAGAGCGTTAGGTTTTGATCCTTTTGTTTTGTTTCCTCTACTACTTTATAAAGTAGGTACCAATACTGTCTACACTAATTATCTATGATACAAGTTAAAGGTTGCAGGAGCCTACTTAAAGTTATACTGGACGCGGTAATGCTTGGATTGATATTTTACTTATTATTTTTATATTCTATATTTTATATATATTTTACCCATACATATTTATATACTATTTACTGTTATGCATATATATTTACTTATTAATAAATATTTATTTAGGTATTTATTTTAATTACGTC